GGGGGGGGGGGAAGGGGGAGGAGGGACAAAGATGGATGATAGCTGAACCAAAACTCGAGGTATATTAGAAAAATAACTTCAAATAATAAAAATATGTTTTGTTTTGAAGCTTGAATAAATTTGTATGGGAATATATATACCGGGATAAAGAAATTCATCGTCCGGATCCTCCATTGTGGCCTTGAACAGTGTGTAAATGCGATCCACAATTCCTGCTGTTATCAAATATACCGATGTTGATGTCTTCCTTAAAAAAAAAAATTAATGAAAAAGGAAAAAACTGAATTTGAACTGCACAAGTGTAAAAGCTTAAAAGTTACTAGCTCTACCTGAAATAGAAAAAAATTTAGGGATTTCGAAGAGAGAAACAACAAAAATAGACGTACTGGGATGCGGCATCTGCAAACATTTCAAGAGCATTGAGCTTTGATATGATATCATCGCAATGCAGTTCTTCAGCAAGAGCCTTGATCAGTTCATGGATCAATTTTAAATCGCAATCACCATTCTTCATTACCAAAGCACAAACCTGAAGAAGTGCAATTAAATAAACCACAAATATACCTTGTAAATTCAAGTTTATAACTTCCTCGGGTTTTATTTTTTGCAAATCAAAAGTGAATAGCAAACGGTATTTTCTGTCTCTGTAAGGCACTGAGCCTTCGACGGGTGATCTAGAAACGTCAAACAGGCGGTGAGTACTAACTGTGGAAGTATGCAGATATGGTTTCCAGAATAACGAGATCGAGCCCTCACGAACAATAAAGACCAGCCGCTAACGTAAATTTCTTGATTATTTTCATCAGTTGCGAAGGAAAAAAAAACGTACCTGATGGGCCCGGAAACGGACAGCAGCGTATTTCGATTCCAACACACTCAACAGCTCAGATTGCACAGATTTCAGAGTAGCAAACTGTTGTAACAACTGAAAAAAAAAAGCACTAATGAATAGAAACAGACTATGGAAAATTTTGCGTGGACAAAAAAAACCAATGAAAAAAAACTTGTGAACTATTTAAAATTACAGGATGAACGCCCTCTATTTTATTTTCAAAAAAAAATTCTTTTAAAAAAACAAACTCATATACAAATATTCCGGAAAAGTTCAATAATCAGGAATTAATCAAAAACCAAGCAGCAATTAATAAGTGGATTTAACAGTAAATAAAAATAATTCATTCTGAGATTAAGACGTTTCGGTTCATTAAGTTATACACACTTTATCTTAGCACATGCTGAAGGCTGTGGATTTGAACTGGGAGGAGGAAAGGCGACTCGTTCATTTGTGCCAGTAGTAAACTGGCACTAGCGCATGGTTTAAAAACAGCTATAAGATTGTTTTTAAACAGTCATCGAAAGATGTGACCATCGACAGTCTTGTCAACGGGTGAATACTGCAGCGGAAAACATGCGAAAAGCCGGCCAAGAAGCTACCGCAAAGAAAAATAGAAAGGTGTATCTTGCCTTGAAAGGCAGATACACAGTAGATGTGCTGCCAGGCTGAACATGGGGTACAAGGAACAGTGGTGCAGTGGTAAAACATTGCATCCAGACGTGAAGG